AGAATAATTTTGATGGTGATTTCTCATGGAAGGCACAATAGAAGGTGGACTTATAAAGAAGACAGAGACAACATGTCTGAAAATTATTTCTTTTCCATGAGAAACAGATCAGAGTCAATATCTGTCCATGGCACAAACGTTGAATCAAGAGGTCTATTTGCCCTTTAACTCTCTGCCATAAATAAATGAGAACATTCAAGAATCAAAGGCTAAATTCCTGTTAGCTTTTTTTTTTTCCCCAACTTGCATATATTTGCATTACATCGCACTTCAAGAATTAATTTAGACCTTTCCCCAAGTCTGTTCACATCACCGTCATTATTTCTTCTAGTATATAACCAGTTGGGGCACAACAGGGGCATGTCTCATTTTTCCTGCTTTTGAAGTGGACAGAGTTTAATATGTGGCATATTAAATAGCAGAAAGTGTAATGGCTGGAAGGATGCATGTTCCCTTCCTTAAAAATGGTGGATTTTTTGCTACTGTATTTCTGTGGGTGTTACTGAGTCAGCAGCGTCTGTGGGGCTGATGCATTATTCTATCACTAGGATTAGCGTATGGTGATGCTGTAATAGGTATTGTGAGAGAAATGCCTTTCTTAGTTTAAATATAACTTTGCAATTTTACCCGGCAGCTATATACTCTTATTTTTCATTGTGGACTATAACTGTGGGCTGTGGCTTTGCAAACATCAAAGGTCCGTGATGAGCTGTTAACTTTGGTAAATTATTAATGGTAAATAAATATGTGAACAGAGAAGTGTTCAGATAAAAATGAAAGTTTCCTTCACAGTCTGAGATTGTCTTTTCATTCACTGATAACCTTCTGAAGTACTATCATAATTTGAAGCCAATAAGTAAGTTGACTGTGCAAATCTGCTAGCGCTTAAACACATGTCTTTCTATGTTTTTCATGGTCTATTCTCTTCCATTCTATCTCCTGGCTTCTGACCTATCTGATTTAGTCGCATATCAACATTAAAGGATCTGTTACGCCAGCTCAGACAGCAACGGGCATCTGCTCAGTGCTGTGGGTGACGTGTGTTGTGCTGTGAGGAGCCCTTGTTTTATCTCAGTGTTCCATTTCCCTGCAAATGAGTTCGTGTTCTTGGAAGTTTTTCTCCTTGTGACTGACAAGACAGTCTGTTGTAGCAGTCCCTTTGTAGCACTGAAATGGCAGGATTTATCTTACCTCACTTCAACTATCTGAAAACAGAGCATCACAGCTCCGCTAAGTCGAATTTCCTTTAGAATCCATGTGGAGATGAATGCTCCCGAAGTGAGCTTGCATGCCTTAAGATTAAAAGTTTGGGGAGATGAATTCCAGGCAGCAATTTTGCTTATAAGTCACTTCTAAAGCACATTTTGAGTACATTACCATGCTAAGAAGTGTTCTTAGCAGTTGCCTTCTGTAGCACACCTGAAAAACTAGAAAATTACTCTGTTCTGAATAGAAGCAGTTGCAGAGGCTAAGAGGCCTTACAAAAAGAACATCCAAGCCTATCCTTTAATGAAGGAGTCCTACATGTCCTCACTACCTTTCTTCTTGGGTCAGGTGGCTATTCCTGAGGTAGGCTTGTCCCTGGTTACTATGGGACTGTCTGGGATACAGGATGACTGGGTGCAGCTAGTATGTTTGTGTGTTGGTTGACACCCGCTATCTGACAGCTAGGCAAAGACCAAAAAGCATCATTGTACTCTTAAGTTTGACTGATCAGGGACTGGGACACGCTTTTTGACCAAAGAGGTAGTATTCAGGGACATACCCAGTGCTGCATACACTCTGCTGGCATTAACTTAATTGCTGGTGTTGACTTAACTGCTTTCACTGCAGCTCTCACCCAGCGCTCTTCCTTACACATTGGCAATAGTGAGACTTTTTTTCTGAAAAAATCCCACAGACGTTAGTGTGTACTTACTGCCTGACGGAACTCACATTTGGATTTGCTGCTCAGAGTTAGCAGTTATTAAAATTCTTAGATATACTTATGTAAGTTTGACTGTGCTCTGCTCATGTTTTGCAGGGACTGAAATATCAGCAGTTTAGTTGAATGTATTTGGAATATGTTAAAACAGACTGATTATGTTTTGAAACTTTTCTACAGCTAAGTGTAGTGTTCTTCAAATTTAGACCTTCATCTGCTAAGAATGTTATCACACACACCAAGGTTCCAGTGCTAGTTTCTGATGGACAGTATCATTTATGTAATCTAATTAAAAACAATGTGGATATAGCATTTATTTAAAATACATCATAAAGAAAACATGTTTGTTTCTTTGTCACTGTGTATGGACAGCCTATACTATCTTAAATCTAATTTACCTGTTTTCTTCTACAACGAGTTACTACTAAGGGGTTTAATAGCAGACACCTCAATTATATCTATCTTTCTTTTAAACTGGGCACCTAATTTTTCAGATTTCCTGCTAGACAATTCAGTTCAGATGTGGCTGTGCAATGCAGTGCTGTAAATTCAGCATTTTGGAAATATTAATTAACATTTATTTTCTAGGAGTTCCCAAAAACTTTTATAACAGACCTGTTTAAGAATTTGAACAATTTTGCCAACTTAAGTGGTATTTGTATTATCAAAGAAACTGCAAAGTAATTTGTACTAGCAAGTAACTGAAAATTGCCATTTTGAACAATTTTCATGAATTCAAATGTTTATGAAAGTGTTTCAGGATTATTTAAGATTATTTCATATTCTATTAATTAAAGCTTTTGATACAGACAATGAATTTAATTAGTTCTCACTCACCCCACAGTCAGTCTGGAATTTCTTCATAGACTTCTCTGGATCAGCTCCAGCTTCACACAATCCAAACAAGAGCAACACACAGGCATGGCTATGAGTATTGTTCTGTGGCTAAACTAATATGTTACTTACAAGTAGGGTAGGGCTCGAACCAAAAGGCTAAATGCACCCATTAGGGAAAGTTTGGATTTGGACTCAGATCTGAACTTGCGAGATAAGCTGAAGTGTTCTCTAAATAATTAATATCCTTAGCACTTCTCCATTGTGCAGCATCCCATAGGAACCATCTCTCCTTCTCTCACACATATACACATGTACTCTTCTTTCATTAAAGATTCCCAAATACAGTAATTAGAAGAGTCATCAAATTTGGATTTGACTGATCAGTGCCACTCCAGTTCTGTTTCAATGTAATCGCAGTGGCCTAGAGTGCACTGGTGAACATGGCGTAGAACTCATTTAACTATTACATCAGGAGACTGTTTAACGGGGAAAAAGCAACTGGGATACTGTTTCTGGGAAATGAAACCTACCAGGAAATAACCTGGATGTAGGCATAACAGGACATGATTCCTTTTCCTAATTTATACATTACGTTTATACATTACGTTTATTCAAAAAAAAAATAAAAATCAAAAATATAAACTCAGTGTTCACTTTTGTCCTGTGATGGCCAGTCAAATTGCAGTACAGATAAAGCTACTGATTGGGTAGATACCAGCAGAGCAGACTGATAAATACACAAATATTCTATTTTGGGACACAATTGCCATGCTATGCTCCGTGGCTGTCAAATATCTAGATGCAATACTATTACAGGAAAAATGCTCCTTGGAGACCTGCTCTGAAAACTGAGCTTTAGCCATATACCTCTAGCCAGGTGAATTCTCTTAGCCCCCACTAAGGCTAACAGCGAGAGAACTGCTTCTCCAGAAATGACCAGAATCCAGAGTACCTATGCTAACTTGTGTGCTTGTTGGTACTTCTGGATTCAGGATTTCTGTGTGGGTGAAGGGCTTCTCGTCCCCTTTAGCTATAGAAGGGGCTGTAACTGTAGACAAAGACTAGCTAACTAATGTTCCTTGCCTATGACTGAGTCGTCTGATTGCCCATTGCTCATCCCTCCCCAGTTTCCATACTAAATGATTGTTTTGTTTAATAATTCCTTAATTTTCTTTTTACACTTCATGCATGAGAAAATCTGGTAATTCTCTTGTAGAATTTGGAGAGGGCTTTTAAAGTTGAACAATATTCAGTCCTCGATCATGTCCTGGATTCTTTTTACAAGCCTGCAGTAATCAAGTCTATTTTTTTTTTTCAAGAATAAAAGCTTGCTTGTCATTTTTATCTCAGCCACTTAGATTATATAGGTCACAGTTCTTCCTCTTTTCCTACAACAAATGGGAACAGTTGGACATTGTAATCTTCCCTCCACACTTTTTGTGCAAAGTTTTCATTATAGACCATACGTATTTCCCTTAGCTGCAACCCGCCCTATTTTGTAAACATGGTTTGAAGAACCATAGGTAGGAAACAGCCTCTTAGAGGCAAGTATTTGTTAGAATATTGTGAGAAATGTTCTAATAAACTACCTGTGCAAGACAATGTTTTGATGACTGTTATAGTAATCTGGCACTAGAAATAAATCAGATGTCCCAGTTGTCAACCATGATGGGTTCTTTTAAAAATCCACTACAATTTATAGCACAATAACTAAATCCATCATATACAGTTGGGTGTAATTTACAATGTAATGTACTAAAATGTAGCCACCCTAATAAACAGCTCTACAAATCACATAGAAAAGAAACCACCATTTACCAGGAAAAAAAAAAAATCGGAAAGACACATCAACAAAGAGAAAAGCCTTTCTTTTTCAGCCTTTCCCTCCTGCCCCTGAGAAGTGCACTGCAAAAGTCTAGTTCAACAATGGAAAAGCAGAATCTTGAAAATTGACATTGTTTATCAGGACAGACATCATTGAAAATAATGTAATTGTGTGGGGCTGGTGCAGTAATCAGCCTAAAGCCTGCAAGAGATTCATGTAGCTATAGCACGCCAGCTCCTTTGGAAGGCGTATTCTGACGGGAAAGAGCTTTAAGGTTGGCTCTGCTTTGTACAAGAGCAGATTCTTTCCCTTCCAACGGAATACACCCTTTATTTCCCTTCTCGACTGTGGAATAACCTAGGATCTCCCTTTTATTTCTTAAGACCGCACTTTAGTACAGAAATGGCCACTTACCGCAAAGAGGGAGTCACAGTCAGCTGTCGTGGCATCCTCAAAACATGGAACTCAGTGGCTGGTTCAATGGGATGAATGCCGCTGTTTCCCTGCCCTTCTGGCATAGCAGCAGAAGAGTGTTCCTCGCTTCTCACTGCTGAAAGGGCTCCTGAATGAATATCCTTTCTGCTGCCAGTTACCCTGATGAACAGATAAACACAACTTCAAAAGCGCTACAGTGACACTGGTTTGTTGGACTGTTATCCAACAGCCTCAACTTTCCCCTCCTTCTCCAATTTTGTCATAAAACACAAGCATCAGCTAGACCAAAATGCATCGACATCCCATCTTTGACATTGGCCAATGACAGATGATTAAGAAGAGCAGAAGAAACAGGGCAACTTCAGGGTGTTTCAGGCCCTGGTATGTCCTCCCAGCTAATTGCTATCAGCTGAAAAGATCATACACAAAACACTGATTTCTTTCAGCCAGTAGTCCATTAAATCAAGGAAGCCAAGGTTTTGCTAAAGAAAAACAAACACCCAAATACAGGGCTGCAAATTTAAAAATAGGAGGAAATTACATTTCCTACCCAGAAGAACTGAGGGGTGGGATAGAACAAGCCATGCCAACCCTTGTGTGGGTTATAACAGAAATGGAGAGGGGAAGATGTCTGCTTCCAAAAACTGTTCTTCCAGCTTCACTAGATGATGTGCGTGGTGGGCTGGCTAAGGTAATCTTCCCTGAGACAGAGCCTTCTATTACTTTCAAAGGTGCAATTCAGTTCCAGCCAAAGTGGGAAAGATTAAGCTTTACTTCCACTCACTGCACCTCAGGCATTGGATGAAGAACAGTCCTATCTACATATACATTTGATGTCATTATTTCTACTCTGATCAAAACAGTTCTGATATTATTATTATTTATGGAAAACCATAAACCAGCCCTCAGTAGTACTAAATCTTTAAATCATTACTCAGACATACTTCCCAGTAAAATGCCCCTTGAAGGGGCCTCTGAACCTTTTAGCATCCAGGCAGAGGAAATCAAGTCATTGGAAATCTGTAGATAGAGAAGTAGGATGAGGACTTCAGCAAGAAGAATGGGTCTGTACAGAAACCTCTCTGCCACTGGACAGTTGAAGGATTTGTCCAGATCAATAACCTGATGCCCTTGGTACAAGTCCAGCACTCGTCCTTCTTGGGAAGTTGCTTTCAGGCAGATGAGAAAAAATCTCACCAGAGACAGGAAATTAATGTTGGGATATCTGAGAATTCTTCCCACCTGCATTCCTTCTGTCACATCTTTTTTCTCTTTGATCACTTTCTTTTGGTGGTTGTTCAGCTTTCTTAGTGGGAAGTGTATTTTTATTTTGCTTTGTGTAGGCTTGCTGCATAGCAAGAAGTATGGCTACAAACACTCAGTTAGTGCCTTGAATAAAAGACTGCGCTGCTGGTTACAAGAACAGCCATTGCACTTGTCATAACAACCTATTCTGATTTTACAAGTAATCAATGCTCAACAGGGTCAATAAGAACCTTTCCATTGACCTTAAATAGGAGCTGGAGCTGGTCCCAAATATCCCGAGGTTTGTTAGCCTGACCTTTTATCTTCTGCAATGCTACAACAGTGGTATTTATTAAAACTTAGCCAAAAGAATTACTGTTATTAATGTGTGAGGTCAAATACAGTTGCATCTCTTTAACATGCTGGCATGGTGCCATTAATTTACAAGACAGCAGAATAGAGTGGTGATACATAAAGCTGAAATTCCAATTAGAAAGATGTACCCTGATTTCTGAATACTCCTACGATGATTGTGGTATTTATTTAAAATAAGACAGCCTATCTCCAAGAAAGACAAGAGATGTTTATTTTATAATCCCTATAAGATGCTGCTTTTTATGTCCAATATAAAACACAGTGGGACTATTGTTGTTGATATAATAGAATGGTTGACTTCTTTTCTACTACGGTGAAATCTTTCGTAGAAAGGAGAGTAGAGATGACAATTTCAGAACCATTGTGAAGTAGAAGGGTGAATGGTGAAAGAGGCATTAATTTTAATTGATGAGTTTTCCTGTAACACTTGTTAGCCTAATATCCAAGCAATTCTCATACAGCAATAATTTTCTGCCCTGCCACTAGTGACACCCAGGAAACCGTTCTTATTTCAGTTCCAGAGGTGTAATCTGGGGAGGGTGGGGTTTGGATGACACTGGGAACACATCAGGCAGCAGGAAAACAGGATCAAGGTTCTCTGAGTTCAGTATCTGAATCCCCCAAACATCTCCCCAGTGCACGAAGCAAGTGACCAACTCAAGCTTGCATGGTTTGTTTTGGCTAAAGGAATTTGTGAATGACTGGCCCATGAGGTGAAATTATAAAGGACCAGAACAGAATGGGAGGAGGATGAGTGGACAGAACACTAATCCAAGCAGCTCTACCACACGCTCTGTCGACCTTTAGCAAATTGCTTGGATTCTTGGTGCATCCATCTCCAATGTGTTAAATGAGTTACTTTGAACCTACCTTGCAAAGGTCTACTGAAGTAGTGAGTCAAAGACTGCGAGATTGGTCACAGAAGTATTTGGGAGAATCCGAGATATCTGCAGGAAAAAACCCCAAAGTTTCAAAAGCCCAAGTCTTCTTTTACCTGGGTATGGGCCTCAAACCTCTTTGTATTGTTTCAGTCCTTTAAATTGGCAAAGACTTGAGTAGGGTTGAGGATCTTGCCTGAGGAAACTAAGTTTGTCAGGAAGCAGGAAAAAGGAAGCTGCTAATTTGCTCCAGAGGAGCTCTTCTCTACCTCAGAGTAAAAGAAGCAGAAAATTTTTCATTAGGTTGATACTCGAGGAGGAGAAAAGACAATATATTTTCTTTTTAGAGGAGGAGTCCCTTTTGTTATCTGGTGGCAATAGGAGAGAGAAGAGCCATTGTCAAACAAAAACATAGATAAGATATTTCATAATCCTATGAAAACATTAGAGACTAATATTCAGCATTAGCATCCTGCTTTGGGAGCTCAAAGAGCTGCTCAAACATTAGCTAATCACATTTGAAAAAGTCATCTCATCTTGCAGGCAGACAAATCAGGTCACATGCTCAGCTTGTATGAAATTTTGCTTTTGGCAGCATGGCTCATGCACTCTGGCAGAGGACAAGCCCCTTTGTTTCCATTTCTTGTATGTAAGGAAAACTCACCACTTTATATCTGCAGTTCCATGTAGTGCAGAAAGACCAAGACGAAGGTTTCACCTTGTGTAACCGCAGTTCAACTAGGAGCTCCCAAACTGCTAAATTAAGATTTATTTTTGTTTGCCACAGGGTAACACAACAGCACTGACTATGAAACTTGACTCAGGTCTTGGTGAAATGATCCCAAAAGAACAGCAGAATCGAGGTTTCTCAAAATGCACGGAGGGCTGCAAGGAAGTTAAAAGTCTCACAGGTCAGAATGAGACCTCAATCCTGCTCATCTCGCAGAAGCACTGCCACCAATTTTACTGGGCACTGGATCAGTCCCACAGCGTTTTGGAGGAAGTCTGCCACTGGATTTTGAGGTGGAGGGAAAGAAAAGCATGGACAAGGGAAAATACGGCTTTCACTACCTTTACAATTGCCAGCTTACCACCACCACATATGGAATGAGAAAAGTGGGAGCACAACAGAACTTTAAGAGCTTACTTTTCCCTGATGGTTGTAAGTCAAAGAAATCTGCGTTCTTGGCTCCTCCTTCAAAAACATTTATCTCATGATAATGAAGAGGGGACAAAATGAGGCCCATTAATCAACAACATATTATACATCAGCGGTCACTGTACTCACCTGGACCCTAAGCTGGCATTGTTTCCCCTTACTGTGGCTGAAGGATCAACAGCATTTCTCCCCAATGGGTCTTCTGGAAGCTTGGACAGGCAGGTAAGCAGTAAGCAGCTCATTAAGATCACCAGCTTCAAACATCACTGGGTCACTGATTCCATCACCCAGCAATTGTGACCCACCTTGAAATACACGGTTCAGCCCAGACAGGTTCACAAAGGTCATGTATTTAGCACTGTCTGTGAGTTCAGGAGCATCATTCTACTGCCTCACCCAGCAGAGTAATGGCAAACATATGCAAGGGCAATCATGGGAAAACAGATCTTCACGTGAAAATCTGGGAAATGCATCTAAGGATGCTTGGTTTTTCGATATTGATTTTAATAAGGCAAGAATTAATCCATAATCACAGAATCACTACAGAATAAACTCAATGCAAAAATAAAACATCTGAATTACAAAAAAGAATTAATGCAAAAAAAAGTATTGTCTTAAAGTTTACAGCTACCCTGTTCTTGGGATATTTTTTTATAAAGGAGAGCTAAAATGAAGAACAAACAGACAATGCTATTTAGATATGGAAATCAGTATATCCATACTGAGTAGACGCTTGTTATACTGTAGGTATTGTTAGAGGAATGTCTGAAGAAATTACCTGACCTGTGATTAGAAACTCAGTCTTCATCCTACATGGTTAGATGAGACTGAAATTTGACAGTGTGTCCAAGACATCATACAGGAAGGAGAAACAGTATTTAGCTTTTATTTTCTATGCCGACTACAGCCAGTGGAGCACTGTAGAGAGACAAATTTCAGTTGTGCAAGAGTGGTGAGTAGGACTTCCTAAAGTTAACTCCCCTTCCCTAGTCTTCCTTGAGGCAGATCTCAACAGGCAGTAGTTTTCTTCTTGAAGACAGTTGTAGCTGGAAAACCATCTCATCTGGCCGTTTGATTAGAAGGTGGAAGACTATGCACTGAGTGGGGCTACTCTTGTCTGAAACCACTCGCTGAAATCCTCTTCTGGCATTTGCACAATACTTTCACGTACAAACTGAAACAGAAAAAGGTTCTTTCCTGAGCTTTTGATTTATGTGTAAGAGAGAGGTAACATGGGGAAATTTGACCAGTGACCACAGAATAAATGTAATGGTTTCTGCAAACAGTTAGCATACTGCTTTATACCACCAAAACATTTTTAATGCAACTTTCAAAACAGCTGGATATGCTCTAAAATGAATTAAAAGTAAAGCTCTACAATCTTCATTGCAATTTATATCCTGAATCCTTCCAAGTCAAGTCTTTGTGTTTTAACTCGCAGCTGTCTTCTACCTACCATTGCAGTACAAACATTAAAGCAACTTGAAGTTAAATAAAAACTTCATCTGGAATCTCTGTCAGTATCAGCCAGGTCATATTCAGTGATGCTCTTCTTGCTCCTAAAATGTGACAGTTTCCTTTATCTATTCCAGTCAGAAGGAGCACCAAGGTCCTCCTTCCTCAGTGGCTATTTTTGAAAGATGTATAAATAAATAGATAGGAGATTCAGCTATGCTCACATGTTTTTGTCTATTACTATCGCACTAATGTGAGGGATCAAAACGCAAAGGTAACAGAATGGAAGTGGTAAAGAAATAGATCTAAAACCAGCAAGCAACAGAGACTTACGTGTTGAACATTAAGGCAAGGCTGCCTCTCTGGTTAGTCACTATGCAAATCAGGGCACAAGACAAAATGCCTATTTTTATAAGACATCAAGAAAATACAGGCAGTCTGATCTCGACATGTTGGGTGCTAAACCTGTGCCTTTGTAAGGCATGATAACACTCGATAGGTGTAAAATGCACAGTAACCTGCTGCCTCTCAGAGATTTCTGTTGGTCTTGCAGGTTAGGGGAAATAACTGTGATGAGAAGAAAACTCACAAGGTGGCAGCATTGCCATTTTTGTCAGTTCCTTACCTGGTTCGACTACCTAGCGGCATACGTTCGAAATGTATTCTCTTCCCTTTCTTGTGTCCTCCTCCTGCCAATTGCTTCTACAACTACAAGACTTGAGCCCAACTTAAGATCTTGAGAAGCACATTATTTTTTTTTTTTTATTTTAATGTTGCTGAAGAAAAACAAAGATATCTGCAGAGTTCCTGGATCAGTGACGCAATACGTTACTTGAATAGCTCATGGGTGTAACTACTGGGAACGACAGGCCTTTTCAGAGCACAACAAGTTAATGTTTCTCTTCAAGTGTCCTAACAATTTATGACAGGTGTCACTTTCACTGTGGTAAATAAATCAACAATGACATAACAACAAAATGATACTGATTAATAATCCAATGCTTGTCATAACGTCTTTTTTCTGAGGAGTTCAAAGTGCCTTGTAAAAGGTGAATAGTAGCATCTTCATCTAGTGAGATCCTAAATGATTTCATCTGGTAATTTTCCACTGCATGAATTTCAGCCGTAGCTGCCTGCTCTCCCCACCCTCATCCCACAGAGAATCAAGAACTGGACTCGTCTCACCTCCACAGCTGCAGCAATTTCTGGAGAACACAGCTCCCACACCTGTAGAGCAGCCAGAGCCTTAAGAAAGGTGTCTGGATGAATTTTCAAGTCGGGAGTCTTGCCATATTTTTCCAGTTTCTTTAAGATTTTCTGTACATAATGGTCACTCTTCACAGACTCAGGGAGTCTGGCAACCAAAACAGCAAACCTTTAGCAGAAAGAACAACAGCAATAAAAGAGAAGCCATGGGAACCAATGCATATCTGATTAATAACTCTGGGTTTGCCTGGCATTTCTGCCACTTCACCACCTCCATAACTTCCACAGAAAAAATGGTTCTTTGGGGAATGTAATACTCAGTGTAATTCCGAGTGAATAATGTGAAAAAGCTTTACTTTATTGGACTTGTGCACTAACTCCCTTTGCAGGGCATTGAAATAGATGGTTCTTCATTGTTCATTTAAATTTTGGATGACAAACTTGGGCATGAAAGGAAATAATAAAATCCTAACAAATGTTTCCATTTTACTACAGATTTGTCCTCTTCATCTTTTCTCTATTTATTTTGTTTAGCCTCTATGGATTTTCCAGTGCAATCAGTGCCTGATCCGACACAGTTTCTGATTCTCTTTACTATCCCTTTTCCCTGCGCTATCATCATTCTCCTCTCTCTGTGTGCTGACATAAATCTCACTGATGTAAGTGCACTGTAACACACAGTCTTTACCACTTCTCTCTGAATATAGAGATTCAGAAGGAGAATTACACATTACAATAAAAATAAAACTCTTGTGAAAAGACTGCCTTGTTTGTTGTTTTTTTTTTTTTTAAATGTTCTGCGTAAATTCTGCAGTGCTGCTTTGACGGTCCCCGAGAATGATGTTCCAAACCTTTTTAGACTGTGCATGACTGGGATGTGCTGGGGTTTCGTTGCAGAGGGCTAAGGATTTGGCAGCACAAATTCTGCAGTGCTGCTTTGACAGTCCCCGAGAATGATGTTCCAAACCTTTTTAGACTGTGCATGACTGGGATGTGCTGGGGTTTCGTTGCAGAGGGCTAAGGATTTGGCAGCACATCAGCA